TTCGACAAGTAATTTTTCTACCATAATCCAAGTTACCTGAAATAAATTCAGGTGTATATGTGTGATATTATTATTATTTGAAGCGTAGCTGAACCGTGTGAAAAGGTGAGAGAATCAAAAAATAATCGGCATCTTCGGCTGAATAATATTATTCCCATTTGTTTCTGTTAATTTTTATACAATCTGACATTAATCCCAGAGATATTATGGCTGAAAATGGTATGCCGGGTAAAGTTTTTGACCTTATCTAGTCGGCGGGTGGATGGGGGGTGATTGAGTGTTAGGTGGAGAAAGATGTGAAAAATTTGATGTCGACAAGCTTCATACTACCTAATTACCAACGATAAATAAGTGTTTTAAAGGTCATTTGTTTTACTGGCTTGGAGAGGGGGGGGGTAGTACATCAGTGATAGTACAATCGCAAGATGCTCGCTAACCATGTCTTATGTGGTCTGGGTTCCACTTCCGGCTGATGCATACTCCCATACATCGCCTAACCGATATTAAACCCAGAAAACGAGATGGAAAGCTGAGTGTGTGAGGCCAGCCACCCCTATTCCGTAAAATAGATATCATCACTACCAATGGAACTTCTCACTTGTAACAAAAAGGAACAAATATTTCTGACTTCATCGCTGTTGGTTGTCAGAGGAATCCATGAAATGTTTAGGTATTCCCAATAGGTGGTGGCTTTCCAACTATGACTCCAACATAGAGTGCCTACTAGGAATTGACATATCAACAGTATTACAGACTCACATACACACATCTACAATCACAACAGTAAACGATCTCAGGTGTTTTACGGTATACATTACACTTTGACTACTCAAAAACAATCTAATATTCAATGATTGGAGGCTATCGATTAGAATCTCTGGATATAGGCGTATCTGCAACTTCCCTGTCGACTAGTATCCATTAAAGTCTTACAGGTTGTCCGAATAAATTTCTGAATATACCGCTTGCTGAAAGAGGGTTCGAATTTTTGACAGTTGCATCAGATAATTGAAGATTATAGACCCGACTTGCTGATAAGCAGGATACACATGTTTAAGGTTTCCTACAGATATGTCTCCAACCGTCTAAAACCAACTGAAAATGTATTGTGATGGTAAGTCTCCTGGAATGAAGATATGCGAATAGAACTTGAGCATTGTGGTAGAGAGTATGATTTCAACAAAGAGTAAGTTTATCTGATAATGCCTCACAGTATTATTTACTGATGACGACGTTTAGTGGAGAATTTATTTTTCATTACCATATCAAGGCACTCACATAACTTCTTTCAAACTTCGTGTATACAATTCCATTATTTCTTATCTCTCGATCCGATTAGTAGTAGCATTTTCCAAATCTCTGCTGGCTGTAGATTCAATGAACGAAGATTCAATGACCAATGTCTTCCTGAATTTACCCATATTACATTCTAGAAGTATAGTACTATGTTAGTGAAAGCCAAGCAACTGTTGCGTCTTTTCAAGTTGATCTTTTTCAGGGTCACTGATTCTGCACAGCTAAAATCTGGTGTGTATATATTACCTCCTTCTGTTTGTTCTGTTTTACAGTCTGACATAGCTAATTCCAGTGTCGCTTTGCGGAGATTTGATTTGATTGGTTACACGACTTTCATCATGAGCTGACATGAGTTAGAGAACTATTGGGAAACCAACTAGGTAGTACTGGACAGCTGTTTCGCCATCAAAGCTTGATGCTCTTCATCAGTACGTACCCTTCACCAGTGTTCCAACCCAGAACCTTCAGTTTGCAAGATGACCCATGAATTCCAACTTCTACCATTTCGTGATTTTAGCGCAAACACCAACGAATATCATCGACGAGTGAATCGTTGCAGCACGAAGTTGCCTAGGGCTATAACGAGAAGTCGTCATCAGCGGTGAGATGAAGCAGGTCTGGAGTGAGGACAAATACTCGCCACCGATGACAATGGCTAGTTCCAGTCGCACTTTATCGTGAATTGGCAGAAGGTGGAATGCGTGGCCTGGCTATTGGATTGGGTCCCAGTGGCTCTACTTGTGATCAGAAGGTCCTGTGTTCGAACCGTGGTGGTGGGTGCGCACTGCTAAAGAGTCTCAAGCATGGAGGGAGAAACAGCTCTCCAGTACTCTCTAGTTGGTTTTCCAATGGTTCTGTAACCGATGTCAGCTCATGATGAAATACTGCGACCAATAGCTAATTTTCCTTGTTCATTTTTTGACTCAGAAATAAAAGTTTTATTTCCCCTCTACCACTGAGTTTTTTGTGCGAAGAGTGAAAGTATCATCCACAGATCTCTGGAATATTTTATATCAATTTCAACTTCTGTCAATCCATACGATGTTTAGGACATGTGTTACGCATGCCCACCCATCGATTTCCTCGACAACCGAAAATGTTAGCTGACATAGGATAGATGAGGTTGGAAAAGAGATAACTAGTGGTGGTCAAACGGAAACATTACTTCATCAATCAATGAAATCCATAACAGTTAGTTTTAGCTAGTCGCATATGGAGATGTAGACTTCCTGAATGTTTGATGTCCTCGAGATGGTAAGAACTAATGAAGGCTGAAGACAATTGTGTTGGTATGGCTGAAAAACGTTCTCAGTGGTGCGGATGCTTCCACTGCTTGTATCTTATAATATCTCATAAAACTCTGTTGTTCTTCCATGTCAATATTCTTTCTTCCTCACACTTCTGTTTATTGTCTCTCTCTTGAATCTCTCTTCTCTTCCTTTGTGTGGTACATGGACAGTGGCATTTTGAACTGCTGCACATCTCTGCAAAGTTCTGTTTAGATACCATTCAGTCAGTCAGAAGAGTCCAAAGCTAGGACAAAACAGCTGTCCATTACTTGATAATTGTCTCTAACTCATGTGTAGGTTCATGATAAAATCTACGTTAGAAAATTTTGAAATCTGAATATTTAAAAAATACTGCTTTTAACTTTAAACCCTAAATTAAATAAAGAAATAATCTAATCCCAATAAATAACAAAATCCATTTCACTGAAATATTGTTTTGTCCAAAATTGAAATTGCTTCACTTAATGTTGAGTAGCTTTCTCGTCTGTTCCGTACTGAAACGCACACACACACACATACACACACGCACAAGCAAACGTACTCACAGACGAAAATGATCTCTTTCTATGTGGCTTAAAGTTGGCAATATTTGTTTTGATAATATAGTAGTAGTAATAATAATAATAACAATAATGTTGTTTTTGTTTTATTCGTTCATATTCGTAATTGACGCATTTGTTGCTAAGTAACCGATAAAAGGCGGTGTCGTTTTAAACAATATGTCTTTTTTTCTGCCAATATTTATTGTACACTTTAACATAATGTTGTGTTTTCAAGCTGTCAATCTAACTAGTGTTGATAGTTAAACATAAGAAAAATTAATGAAACATGACAGAAATAGAAGTTGATTACTAACTTACTGACTGTCTGACTAATTGATTGATTGATTGGCTAACTGAGTAATTGACCGGCAGACTGCGTAAAAATAAATACTACTCACACACCAAAGAGTGTAGTGCTTGCTAACCACTCACATTGAAGTGATCTAAGCACAGGGCGGCTGTTTCAGTGTTTTTTTTTTCGGCGGAGCACATTAGCGGTGCACGTGGTTTGACTCAGTCCAGAGAACAGAAGCAGTTGAAACCACCTAATTTCTGGCTAGCTAGCAATACTGCTTAATGTGAACGCTGCATAAACTAATAATAATAATAATCTACTTTATTCCAAAACTAACAGTACTTATAATACAGAATGGAATTCTCAGCATTTGTCACAATATTGCATCTGATTTACTCAGAATATAAATAAAATTAAAACAAAACTAACCAGAGGAATTCGTCCACGGTTACGATATAAAATCAAAATATTCGAAGTACAAAATGAGAATAATAACTCTAATAATAAGAACAAGAATAATCATAGTAACAGTGAGTTTGTTTCAAACAGTATGGTCGATTCAGCATGTTATAGATTATTGGATCTAATGTTCTGCTGATATAGCAGCATGGTGAGGGGAAATACAAAATTAACAGTTATAACACAGCTTGAATGATGTTCACACTTCTGAGAAAATGAACAAATAAAAACAAAAAACTTAGAGGACTATAAATATAAGTAAAATAACAATAAAGGTTGATGTGGTAAGGGCGGAGAAAATGTTTTATTTAGTAGTGCAAAGAAGGTTAGTTAGTTCTTGCCTAACACTATTTTCATCACATAAAGTACGTGCGCGAAATATGATATAGTGGAATTTTCATACTTAGACGTACGTGCATGAAGTCTTCTGAAACGACTTCTTGTTTTACGTGAGGAGATACAAGGTTGGAGCTGCGGGTGCTGAGGTGTATACTCACAGTCTGACAAAATTCCTTTAGCGAATTTGTTGCATGACATCAGTGACAATGTCAACGATATGGCCCAATGGGATACCACTCGTCCTATTGACAGTCTTCAGAGTTCCACGAAGTATGACATAGTCTTTTTAAGCAATCCAGGAAAGAATAAGGTTGAATAGTAAAGAAGAATAGGCAAGATGCATGATTTGACAAATTCTAAGAGGAGTGTTTGGGTTATGCCTGCTATGAATCAGTAGTATGCAGTTGGTGATCTTATACCCAGTTTCACTGGGAAAATCTATTTCTAGTTAGATGATGAACTGATTTCAGTTAAAGAACCTTTGAACATCAAGGAATACCGCAGAGCCATATCAGTTGACTTTCAGAATCTTCAAAAAGTGCGCATCTACGACGTGGTCTTTAACCCGAAAGTTCTGGTTCTGATCTTTAATGGTGGAATAGGTGTACATTGTTGAGGAGGCCTAATACTGGGATGAAACAGCCGTATAGTACTTCTCAATAGTTTGTAACAAGTCAACACTTAAATTCTTAATGTATATTTATTAACTGAAAATGAATAGCTTCAAATAGTTTTAATTTTCATCCCTAACTTTCACTATATCTATTTTTTTGTGAACAGTATATTCTCGTAAACGACGTGGTGCCTCAAACAATCCCGCTGGTGAAGGCGTGGATGAAATGAATGAAGACAAGTATTCAGCCGATAGTGATAATCAGTCAGCATTGTATGATGAAAATGTCCAGTCGTCTTTATCATCTAAAATTCCGGTTATTCAATTTAGACGACTACAAAAAGAAGTAAGTTGGGTGTTTGAAAATAAATTTGGTTTATTTTTGTCGCTTTGGTCATTGTAAAACATATCAAGTATGAGTTTCAAGGGGTATAATCCTGGGTTGAATTGGAAGCGCTAATGGAAACTGGTGTGCCTCAAGGCGCTGTGGTATACTCTCTCCATTCCTTTTATCTTTCTTTTGGCATGGCCTTCTACATTCTTCCCAAATTAGCTTTGCCGATGATCTAACCATTTCTGTCCCAGTTGTTGTTTCTGCTTTGTATTGTTCTTTTATGTGAATAGATTCCTGTCTGAAGTTAACAAATTGTCTCACCTAAATGGTGTTAAACTAAATCCATCGAAGCGTCATACTGCTGATTTTAGTTTCAGATGCCAACAAGACTTGCGTGCGTAGACTGATTCAGTTGCATGATTCCTGAAATATTGACGACAGTCTTCGAATTTCCTCTATTAGTCGTCTCATATCCTGTTGATTTCAAAGAAAATATCTTTCGTTTGATTTATTACATAAAGAAGTTGAAACTTTCGGCTGGCATAACTCAACCTCTTCCTTCTCTTACAATTTGTTAATTCATGAATTCTACCCATTCCTCTTCTTTATTGTTCGCCATTATTCCTCCCTGGAATTCTCGAAAAAGACTATGTCATATTATGTGGAACACTGAAGTCTGTAAGCAGTCAGGGTTAGTGGTGTGTGCCTTTGACTCAGCTAACTGACATTATTGTCAATAAGCACTTCAATTCTTGCAAGCAGTTGGCTAAAGTTATCTTGTCTCATACCACTGAACATCCTCTTCATTCACCACTTTTGCCTTGTATCTCTTCGGGTGATGGCACCAGAAGAAACTTCATAAGAATTTACGCTTGTACAGCTATTAAATATAACAATTCTACCATACTAACATATTTAGCACGCGTGGTGGTGTGTGAAGAGAGAGAGTCAGATGTCAGAAAAGAATTTGTAAACTTTTTAAATCAGTAACTGTGATCTGCAAAGTATAAGCAAAGATTATTATTATTATTACATGTATTATCTATGATACTATCTACTTATACTTCATTAGGTTTCCACCAACATTCTGTTTATATTGGTGGTTTCATTATTAATGTTATTATTAATATTACTTTTTTAAATTTTATGTATGTACATATTTATAAAAGGAGGTAAATTGTTGGAATATGTAGAAAAATGCAGAAAATTCCACTCAGTGTAATTATTATTGTTTGAAATAAAGTGATCAGTATCATTATCCAACTATTAGGAATTATTCCATGTCACTGGGACGTGATACTTTAACTTCGTCCACAAACCTTCATTCCCTCTGCATACCATTTTCTTCATGTCACCCTCGGATTGACGCTTACCAATGACTAAATTTCGGTGGAATGAAACATTCGACTAGCCCTGATCAAGTTTTCTCGGATGTGTTTCTATGCTGACAATTCTGCATTGTATCAAAAATTTTATTTGGGGACTTGATCTGTTTCAAATTTTGATCACAGATTGGTATAAGTTAGAGAACTATCATTGAAAACCAACCAGGGCGTACTGGATAGCTGTTTCGTCCTGGCTACCTTCGGACTCTTTAGAAGTATGCACTTATGGCCTCACGAGGGATCAAAAGTCAGAAAAATTAAATCCCTACAAACTAACTCTTGAAAATTAATCTGACGCTCACTGGTGAGTGATCGACTACAGGACCGGACTGATTGCAGTTCTACTGAGAAACCGTGACTAGCGGGGTTAGTCCACCAAGTCGAGAGTGGGTGGGAACAAATACTCACTGTGCTAGTCTCTGAATAGTCAACGCCTTAGTCTTGTAACCTGAAAGTCCTAAGTTAGATCCCTCTGGGGGAAGAGTGATTCACTGATGCGTACTACCGAAGAGTCCCGCTGGAAGACGAAACAGCTGTCTAGTACTTCCTAGATTTTAATGGTTTTCTCTAATTCTAACAGAATTCGGTTAGTGTGAACTGATTCAGCACTGTGAGCTAAGTCAGATTGGGTAAACCGCTGATGACCTTGTCTGCGAACGAGCGACACCACAATCTAACATTTAGAACACTTCACTCTGGCTGGCTAGCAACCATTAATGGTTGATGAATGAGTGGTGTTCAGCTACTCATATCAGTCAATCAGTAGTATAGGCCATTATGTATTCATACATGCTTTCCTGACTACCCTATATGTTGTGTTTGATCTGAATAGCTTCGGTCTGACATCTGCAAATCGTGAATTTGATCCAACACTGACGGTGTTCGATATTTCCTTATGCTATTTAAATTCATTACCATGAATGTCTTGTTTCTAGTATCCTATGTGTTTTTGAATGACTAAACAGGATAATTGAACACCGTCAGCTGTCCAATATAATCCTGTCTAAATGTGCATCAGTATGTTCTAGTATCTTTCCTATACGAGAAAAATACAAAACGTTAAAATACTTCACTTAACTTGTAGAATTTTTCCCCAGTTCTTTTCCAGTCAATATACTTCGTTGTACATCATCTAAAGAGTATTTTCTTATAATGTACCACTGCTAACGCTACTGTTTAAGTACTTTTTTATTTGTTATCCTTGTTGCTACTTTTTTATTGTACAAACTGATGATACTGTCAAGGATGACAGCGACACGTGACACGCATCTGTATTTCCTATTTAAACTTATCAATAATGACAGGTTAGAATTTTGATGAACAAAAAATAGGTAGAAAATGAAGAGAATATTTAAGAATTAAGCATTTGTGAGAATAAATAAAGAGGAATAGTGGAAAATTTTCAAGCAGTTTGATTAACAATTAAATCTTTAAATATTCCCATTATTCATATTAGAACAAGACATATATTTGTTGTTTTCAATTAGATCTTCTTCAGGCTTTACTCTAATTTACATCAATCCATGACCAACTCGCAAAAACAAATCTAATCCTTACAAATCAACCATTAAAAGAAGATTGAATTGAATTTTAGATTTTCCCATCGATTGATTGGACTGAAGTGCTCGGTCTCAGGTTGACATGTCTGTCGGCTTCTTGTGCAGATGCTTCGACGATGTCTGGGCATTTAATTATAATTTAATTTGTGGATGATGACTGGCAGTGACATCGTCAAAACATCTGCACAAGAAGCCGACATTTCAACCTAAAACCGAGCACTTCGGTCCAATCAGTCGATGGGAAAATCTAAAATTCAACTAAATAATTAAAATGACCTGTTGGACAAGAGGTAGTGACTCTCGTGGCCCAAGTGGTTTAGTGGATAACGCTTTAGCTTTTGAAACTATGGGCACTGGATTCGAGCCTTGGTGTGAACATCATCACTCACTAGGAATGCCTTAAATCTGAGATTATCGAGAGCGATAAAACGGACTTATACTGCCTCCACCCTTTGTTGGTCATTTTCCAGCTGCCGACCAATTATGATTGCTCAAGTGGAAGATAAGCTACCTAGCTGTGCCACTTCTATGTGTATCTACAAATTTAGTTGCTCCTGAGGAGAAAGCTAGCTATATAGGGCGAACAACTGAACTGCTTAACAAACGCATTAATGAGCATCTTCCTTCATGGTTTGGAAAAAGCCAAATAAAACCCATAAGAAGTTCTATTTTGCCTCATTTGATTGATCACAGCTGTCACCCAGTGGACAGAAATCGTTATTAATGACGTTCAAAACATTTACCACATTATTATTATTTGATCCCCAAAATCATCAACATTGGTTAAATTCTGTTTTACATATAAATCTACGTAAATTAGAGTAAAGCCTGAAGGAGACCTAATTGAAAACAACAGCACTGTTCGCTTATTATATGTCTTGTTCTAATATCAACAGTTAAATGTTCTTTCATGGAAGAAATAAACCAACTGAGATCTGCATATATATTTATGTGGTTTAGTTGTGAAGAATTCGCTGTCTTTTTAGACATCATTTTCAACGCTAACTTCAGAGTTCTCATTGAACATCGATTGATTGTACGGAACTGTTCGGTCTCAGTTTGATATGTCTGTCAGCTTCTCTTGCAGATGCTTCGATGATGTCTGGGCATCTAACTAGAAGTTAACTGATGGATGGTGACCAGCAGTGGAATCCAGGACAACTCACATTTCGTCCTATTTGGGACTAGTCATCTGAGTGTACCTGCATTCCATAGTGAGTGATGATGTTCACATCAAGGCTCGAATCCCAAAACGTTATCCACTAAACCACTTGGGCCACGAGAGCCACTATCCCTTCTGCAACGGGTCATATTAATTATTTAATTGAATTTTAGATTTACCCATCGTGGTCAAATGATCTAGTTGGTAACGCTTTGACCTTTGAAACTATGGGCAGTGGAATCGAGCCTCGGTGTGAACACCATCACTCACCGCGGAATGTAGGTACATCCATCTGAAGAGTCCCAAATAGGACGACGTGTGCATCCTGAACGTAGTATCTGCTGTTTCCAGCAACCTTGCGTATGATTGGCTATTTCGGGAAGCATTAATAAGAATCGATTTCTTCCAAGAAAGTAGCTTTAGAGATAACCAATCACATTAAAGGTTACTGAGAAATATTGACATTTCATTCGTCGAGAATTCATTCAAACAGCCTACGTCTTGTTGGATTTAGCACTGAAAATGCTGTCCAGAAAGACATCTAAAGCTTTGTGATCAAGCCAACCAGCTCGCAGAACACTGTATCCATATTTATGCTATGTTGTTCCATTACCTTATTTGCTCCTAGGCAGTCGTTTCGACATCACACTAGTTATCATCATTAGTGTGACTTTATAAGTGAGTGCATAGGAATATATTATTTGGTCATATAATGTTTAGTTTTGGCTTCTTTGGGTTGAATATTATCAGATAATTGGATTTTATTCAAACAATTAAAACATTTCAGCTGACTTCACTGTGAAAGTGTTTCCTCTGGCTGTTCCGTTTCTAAGCCATTTAACTTATGTCATTAACTGTTAAAACTGATTTATTTTCACAAACGGACACATTTACAGCAAGAATTGT